CGGTGGGTTTCTTAGGGTTGTCTGTATAATGATGAGATGGTGATTGGTGGGTGTGTTGAGAGCGAACCCAGTGGCGTCTGTTCTGCGTATGTCTCATCCTGTATACGGTGCGGCGGCGAACGGAGCCAGTGGTGGTCGCATGTTTGCTTTTCAGTCATTGGAGTGGGATTCTTTATCAATAGTAAGTTATTACCCCTTTGACCAGGTAAGTTAGGACAAAGGTGAAGCGATTTGGACAAACGAAAAATCAATTGGACAATCATCAAACCGAATTGGTCAGTTCGATTTTCCTATTTAGTTCATGATCGGAACCGATTTGGGCAGTCGATACAGGTTGGGATAAGTGATGAGCATTTTGGACACACCAGATTTAGGTTGGGATAAACGATGAGCATTTTGGACAGAATGATTTAACAGTTTGGACGCATGACAGAGTTAGGCAGATTGATTTAACAAATTAGTATTACCGAAACCCCATTTCGTACAGCAGTCAACCGATTTGAGATTCTGTGGACACCATCGGGACGAACAAAAATATCAATTTAGTGAAGCGATTTTGCATGTTAGTAACATGCGTCTGAATCATGGGACTGCTGCTCCCGAATCACGGCCTGCTGCACCCGTAAACTGTCGACCTAGAACTTCGCCCCGATTAGCTTTGCCGAAGTCTCGTGTCACCTCTCTAATCCATCCTTGGCACATCTCGGCAGTGATCCGCAAAAGACCCCGGTTGATTGCATCAATCAGATTCCCCTGCCCCCCAAGTTCCTTACGACAAACACGGCTCTTGACATTGCCTCCTCTCCTCTTGGTCGTCTCTTGAGCCATAAGCCTCGAACGCGATAACGATGTTGTGCACAGTACTGCGTGGAAAGCCATAGCGTACTGCAGTCTCTGCAAACGTTTTGCCTTCAACGTAGACTCGATGATCTTTCGCCTCTGAACATCGTCAATGCGGTTGTACCTGCCTCTCCTGCCTCTAGCGGGCATACTGTATTGGGCACGTGAACGCGCAAGGCACGCGAACGCACAATCRTGACCGCACAAGGCCAGTGGTTCGATGCTCGACGGAAGTGAATGCACGGTGATGGATGCAGGTAGCACACGTGAGCGATACACGAGTTTCTGTGGGGCCCACCAATTTATGYGMKCKTCAGTCTAAATMGTTCAGTCCTTTGACGAAGGGCACAGTGGGTCTGTCCAAGTTTCTAGAATACCTGTCCATATCGGTTCACACGATGTCCAATTTAGAACTACCGGTCCAAGAAGCTTCTACAAGAATCTAAAACGCTTGGACCACATGGCAGATTCCAATTCTACCGGTTCAAGAAGCTTCCACGAAATTCCAAATCTGTTCGCCCTTTCTCCAACTTCGACGGGTTCATCTAATTTGATAAAAAAAAAAATCCAATTCCAATCTGCCGGTCCAAGAAGCTTCTTGAAATTCCAAATCAGTTCGTCGTTGCTCTAACTTCTACGCGTTCACCTAATTCGATAAAAAAAAACTCCAATACGGTATTGTTTTGGGCGGGGACCTGGTAGGGCCTGCCCATTTCAGTTCACGATATGTCCAAATAGCGGCAGTATGTATCTAACTTACCTGGTCAAAGGAGTAGTAACTGTACATATCTGGTTCAATCTGTCCTGGGAAAGTGAAATGTGTCCAATGAAAAGGAGAGAGGTGACATCCGTTAATATTGGAACGATGCAGGGAAGGATTAGCATGCCCCTTGCGGAGGGATGACACGCATAAATCGAGAAATGGTCCAATTTGTTTTTATTTTTTTTAATTTTTTGAAAGAGAAAAAGAAGAGAGGTCAAGCGCGAAAAATGTAGTGGAGAAGCCTGTAAACGAAAGTGGAATGCATGTGGGCGCGGCGAGGTGCGGTGTTCAGAATCAGAGGAATAGACTGACAAGATCGTGTTTCATGTGTCTGAGAAAAGGTTCCGCTATATGTGCTGTGACCGCGCATGCATTCGTGAAGAAAGCAATGCTCCTTTCTAAACGATTGAAGCGAGGATGAGACTCGATTGATGCTTGATTAGTGTAATTAGATATGATTACTCTTTTTTGTTACGGGTGTTTGCTTTTGCACGTTGTATCAATCAGACGAGATCATCGACGAAGGAGAAAGAAAGAGAGACGACGAGAGGGCGGCGGTTGGCCGTGTCAGGTGATCGCTGCTGTTAAGAGTTAGTACGGGGAAAAGAATCCCAATGTAACATTTTCCCAAGAAACAGACGGACTCTGTTAGCCGATTGAAGCGAGAGTATATATAAAGTTCACGAAAGAGAGAATGAAGGCGGCTAATAACAGAGTCCGTGTGTTCCTTATCTTCCGAGGGGCGCACGGTCATTCTCAGCCAACAGCTCGAGGACTCGGAGACAAAGTTGATAGATATGTTTTCTTTCCTGTGGTCGTCGTACTGTGAGCGAATCTAGCATCTGGAACTCACCCTCTTGGACGATTCGTGTGTAAGATGTGCATGGATGTGGTAGGCAGGGAGAAGCTGCTTGTTTTGTGTTTGTTCTTTTTCTTTGTAATCCTGTGGAGGCTGGGAAGGGAGAAAGAGACGGTCTCCACTCGTCGACTGACTGACGTGGGTGAACGGAGGGTGCAGCGTGGCGGGGGGAGGGGGGGGAGGAGAGAGAGAGAGAGAGAGAGAGAGAGAGAGAGAGAGAGAGAGAGAGAGAGAAGGGAGTACAACGTGGAAGCATCATCATGGCCTTAGTGGTCGTGGGATGAAGAACCCTAGAGAAATGAATGCCATGAATTCGTCCTGGGTAGGTCACCTGGCGCAGCAGCACGCCCTAGCGTATCAGCAAACGAGGTGCCTGGTTCAGGATCATTACATCGTGAAAAGCGGGTGCAGGAGCCGGCACATCAGCAGCCTACGGAATTCCATGGCTATACCTCGCTACGCTATCTATGGCTATACCTCGCTACGCTAATTCCCTCATGGCTGTAGTACTTTCCTAGGCGAAGTCTGTGGTTGTACTGCCCTAGTCTAATTCCATGGCTGTACCTCTCTGCGTCAATTCCGTGGCTGCTGTTTCTTACCGTTATTCCAGGGGCTGTACATTTCTTCCTCTGATTCCATGGCTGTACCTGCCTACGCTAATTCCATGGCTGTACCTTCTTCCTCTGATTCCATGTCTGTGCCTTCTTGCTCTGGTTCCGCGGGCTATACCTCCCTGCTGTAATTCCATGGATGTACCTCTCTACTGTAGCTCCGTGGGTGTACGTCCCCGCTTCAAGTCCATGGCTGTGCCTCCCTACTACAACTCCTTAGTGATGTCAATACGGAACGGCCACAGACAAGACACCGTTCGTCGTATTGCTTTCCTGAAATGAAAGTGTACTTGCGATTGGTACCCACCGGTAGTTGATCTCCACACCTGTTGCAGTTTGATGTGGAGGGACAGGTCGAGGAGTCTGTCACAGGGTGCGTGATTGCGCCGCCGAAGTCCATGATGACAATGCAGTTTTGCGGTTTAGGGTTTACTCCGACAGCATGTTTTATTTACGACGAAAACAAGCCCGTATCGTTTGTGGATGACGAAGGATCCATTCACCTTTTTGGCGCCAAAAATGTGTGTGCCTGTCGAAGGGAATGTGTTCTGTGCGGTGCCTCTGCTAGCTTGACAGACGGGGATGCACTGTGCGGTGAGGCTGTAATGCCATTGTCTCTTTCTCACACTTGCTCTGTGGTGAGATATATCTGGGGAAGTTCTTGGTGTAAGTATGCGGGCTAATTGGACAGCCTTAGTGTATGGATTTCGGGAATAAAGGCGGGCAATAATTGACCTTTGCTGTCAGCGACAGTATAAGTACATGGGATTGTCAAGATCTTTTTCTATTGCCCCCCACCCCCCTTTCATGTGGAAAAAAAAATACCGCGGTTGTGGGTGGTTTGCTGGGGGTCGTTTCGGCTGAGGATTGCCTTCTTGTCTTTCCGGAGTCACGTTTAGCTCTCAAGGTGGTGTGCGCAGAAGGCCACCTGGGCACACGTGCAGCCGTGCCCCGCCTCAGTGAGCGGATGAAGAACAGCTGGGAATGGTTCCATCGAAATACTAATCAGAACCAGTGATTCAGTGGGGGACATCGGCTTTTGTCATCTGAGGACGAGATTGCATGGAGGCGATAGGATAGACCCCTAGATTGGGCAGTGCCTGCCTGAGAGCTGAAGGGTGCCACTTTTGCGTGCACATGGAACGAGTGTAAACAGTTAAAACACAGATGATTGCTTGAACGTGCAGGCATAGGGTGAAGAGTAGTATGAATACACCACAGGTGGGTGCGTTGTCGGTTGGCCAACAGACGATGGTACCCACCTACACCTAGCCTACAACTACTGGGCCTCTAAAAATGCCGATTTTTGTCTTCTTCTGCTCAGCCTCGAGTACCCGACACATCTACCGCTACGTGGTGTGTGTTTTTTCCTGCTCTGCTTTCAAGTGTAGTGGGCCTACTCCGGCCACTTGAGTGTTTTCCCCACTGCAACCCTCGAAGTCATGGCCACAGGTAAGTGCCAACCCTCCGGGTTTCTGCGGAATGAACAAGTACCCTTGCGGGTCACACACACACTCAAGCCGACGAGCACTCAGAAAGGCACGCAGACCAACAAACACGCACACGCACACGCTTAGAAAGCCCAGCAACGAGCGGAAATCTCAACAAGGCATACATTCCATTGACAAAACTCAGAGATCAGCTGTGTGTCTCAGTCTGTGTTAGGCAGGTCCTTATGGCACTGTTTTAGCGCCGATTGGAATTGTGATTATGGAGTTGTGCGCTGCGACAGTGAATGAGAGAAATGGGAGGGCAATTTTTCTCTCCTTGGTTGGCTGGGGATCGATTAATTGTGTTTTGGCGTAGTGGGTGGACAGAGTATCGATGCATAATTTTGAGCTGGCTGGTTGAAAGATGATTGCTTTGGCTGGAAACTGGTGAAGATGATGGAATGATATGGATGGGTGGTGGTGATCTGGTTGTGCAGGCAGCAACAGAGTGATGAGACGCCCATGGTGTGGAACGCGCTAATCTACTTGTACGTTCTCTACTCCCCCGACTGGCATTACAGGAAGGCCATGCCCACGTTCCTGTTCTTTTATGCGACCATCTTCGCGGTGATTCACAACTCGGCCAGATTTGTTCTTGGCTTCCAGCTCCACTACATATTCTTGGTGATGCTGTGCATGCCTCGGATGTACAAGTACTATCTCTCATGCTCGAATCCTGAGGCGCGCAAAGTTGCGCACATCTACCTCCACACTCTGATCCTTGGTAGCATATGCTGGCTGATTGATCGAACCTTCTGCACCTGGATCGAGAGGGTGATGCCCTTCAACTTCCAGGGCCATGCATGGTGGCATGTGTTGATGGGTGTCAACTCCTACTATGGCTGTACGTTTCTGCAGTATTGCCGAGGGGGGCAGCTTGACCGGGACCCGAAGATCACCTTCTTCTTGGGCCTTCCCTTGGTGAAGCTCACCAAACCAGTTCGGTTAAAGGAGCCTGAGAAGGAGAGCTGACCGAGCGGGACTGCCCTGACCGAACTTTTTGCTATGCTATGCCTGCTGGCCACTTGGCGGAGTATGGGTCCTGATCTCTCCGTCTGTGGCGAGGTGGCGTTCGTGGTACTCTTCTCAGTGTGCACGGGCCCCCGTGCAGAGTAGTGAAGGGAGGAGTAGGAGAGGGTAGGGTGTCTCTCGGGKGGGCTACAAGAGAAGGGGATGCCTGGTTGCGATTTGGTTGGGCCGCTAAGGGGGGGGGGGGGATTGCGGTCGTGGTTCTTCTCTTCCTCCAGGGCAAGGTGGAAGTGGAGGGAGCAGAAGGTATGGATGCGTGCCGGGGTGTGTGTGTGTAAGGAGAGGAGAGACGGGTTGGTTGTCTGCCAAACGTGCCGGGGGGGGGAGGTGTACGCTTCATCAGCCCTTGGCATTCATGTGTGGTAATCGATATAAACGAGGTTCGTGCTTGCTCTGCGCTCAAGAAACGGTGAGGTTCGTGCTTGCTCTGCGCTCAAGAAACGGTGAGGTTCGTGCTTGCTCTGTGCTCAAGAAACGGTGAGGTTCGTGCTTGCTCTGCGTTCAAGAAATGGTGAGGTTCGTGCTTGCTCTGCGCCCAAGAAACGGTGAGTGTGACAAATGGACAGGCATGTAAGCTGTAAAGAGGCTGCGGACAGCTTGCTGCAGCGGCGGGCGGCATCTTCATTTACGTGCTGGTTGTTGGGAGTGGGCTGCGCAAGACAGTGAATGATGCGCACAGTTGCGGAAGGGGAACAAGGAACTGCAGAAAGGTAGGCAGGGAAGGGGCAGGTGAGTGAAACACGTTGATTCTGGGACGGCAGGTGGGGGATGTGCCCCAACAATATATGGAGTGTAGTTTTTAAAGCAATGCCACTGATGGTTGGAGGTGTGGAGGGCTTGTGCGTTTTGTCTTTGAAGTTTGGAGCGGCGGCGCATGAAATATCAAAAGATTTTCCAAGGGGTGAGTTCTCCCTGTGGGAGGAGGATGCATAACCGTGTGAGTCCGTTTGTCTGTGTGACCCTTTCATTCCGTGGTGCTTGCCTTGTTTATGGTACATCTTTGTGAGTGGGCGTGAGTGAGTGGCTTTTATAGTCTGCCTTTTTGGTTGGTATATACATAAGCGTGACATATTATTTGTTTTCCATTACTAGCTTCGTGCTTTGCATGCCGGCTTGCAGCTTGAATAAAATGGTCGGTCCCCTGTCGTTTTTGCCAGCTTCCGATTATACCCCCATTCTCCCCTTCCCCTCCCCTTCTTCCCCATCATCACCACCAAAAGGAGAAAAGGATAGGTGCTCTCTCCCACCCTTTCTCGCTTCCATCTCTATCGTTGCATGCACGAGACACAGCCGTCAAAGTTGCATTTTTTTTCTTTTCTTTTTTGGCAAGTTCCCCCCTCGCTTCTTCTTTATTTCGTCTTTCGAACGAGAAGTGGTTTTCTTAGTAAATAAGTAAATGGGACATTCCGTCGGCTCGCCTAACCTCAACCCATAATGGTGAAAGAGGAGAGGAGATCTGTAGTTCAGTTCTTGTGCTCTTGGAGCCATGCATGCACCGTACCTGGCTCCTTTCTGTGTACGTGGAGGAAAACTGTCCGAGGTAGGCGAAAAGGTAGAGGCAAGTTTTTGATAAAAGGGATGTGTCGACCTGGCATTTCTTAGGGACATGACGGTAGAGATTTTTCTTTTCCGAAGTCTCGAGGCACAATTGCTGTCATTGTGTGCGAGTTTAAACAAGTGCTTTTTTCGTCAGATGCTGAAAGGTGGATCTGCATGTTGAAACTTCTGAGACGGGGAGACAGTGACGTCGGGGCCCGTGTCCCGCGGAGGATGCTTGACAGGCCTCCATGAGTGTTGTTGAGGGTCGGTCCCGATCACGGAATGGATGAATGGTGAGACTGACCAGCCTTATCATCTATGGAAGTCCGGAGATTCACTTCTCCTGTGCAGAACCCTTAGAGGAAAATTGCTTCGATTAAAAAGACTGCACGAGTTTGCTCCGATGCGCTCACAGGTCATTGTGTGCTTTGTTCTGGAAGGATTTCAGTTTTTTCAAGTTAAAGAATGTTCTGTCCTTGTTGAAGAAACAAACAGAGAATTCTCCGGAACATGGAATGCTTCTTCCTTCTGCTGCGAGTTGCGGCATTCACAAGAAAATGGCTTTTGTTGAGACTGTTGTGAATTGCACTGGTTACAAATGGCGTGAAAGCTGAAAGCGGGCGTCCTTCTTTGTCTCAGTTGCATATGGATGGAAACTTGGGGAAAGTTGTTCATCAAAATTCTGTGGACAAGAAGGGAGGACTTGTAGTGTGAGAGGTAATATCTTCCGCTATGACGATTTACTAAAGAATCAATCGTGCTGAAGGAACTCAGCAAAAGTGACTCCATAACCTCGGGAGCAGTGCTTTTCTTCGCAAAAACAGAGGAAAGTGAAATCACCCTTTTTGGAATGCAAGGATTGCGAAGGCCAATGGCATTCGTCCAAGCCGTATCATCCCTGTCCCACACTTGGCCCTCGCTCTATCAGCTGTCGTGTTTCTCTCTCTCTCTCTCTCTCTCTCTCTCTCTCTCTCTCTCTCTCTCTCTCTCTCTCTCTCTCTCTCTCTCTCTCTCTCTCTCT